TTGTGCCGGGCGGCTCGCACCAGAGCCATCCGGAGCGTGATCTGGGGAATGCCAGCGCATCCTCGGGTGGCGCTGCGCTGCTGCTGCTTGCCGCGCTGGCGCCGCTGCGCATGATGCTGCTAGTCCAGGTCGCGGTGGTCGCAGTGGTGCTGATTGCGCTAGTGCAATTGCGCGCGGCGCTGCTGGTCCCAGCCGTGGTGGGCATGGTGGTGCCGCTGGTGGTTCTGGCACTGTTGCGAGTGTTGCGGCTGCGCGTGTCGCCGCTGGTTCGTACTGGCGTCGGCACTGGTATAGGCGCTGGCGTTAGTAGCAGCGCAATCGCTGGCGTGGATGCCGGCGTCGGTGCTGGCGTCGGTGCTGGCGCAGGCGCCGACTGGTGCTGGCGTCGGTGCAGTCGTCGGTGCTGGCGTCGGTGCTGGCGTCAGCGCTGGTGCAAGCGCTGGCGCCGTCGCTGGCGCAGGCGCAGGCCCTGATGCTGGCGTCGGTTCTCGCGTCAGCGTTGGCGTCGGCACGCCGGTGCCGGCGTCGGCGCTTGAGCGCCGGTCGCCTTACGCGTAACGGTCTGGACGGCGTGCGTGGCAGCACCGCCAACCAGCCGAGAAACCGGGATGCCGCCTCGTTGTTGTGCTGCCGAGGGCACGCTCCGTCCCACATGACCTGTTGTTGCGGAGTCGGAGTTGGAAGTGTGGCAGGGGCTGGAGTCGGAGTCCGGGAGTCGCGACCCTGGTCGCGTCAGTGGTGGTGCAAAGTAGTCGTTGCTGTGAAGGCGGTCGTCGTTGTACGGGTGGCGGGAGCGGGTGTGGATCTGGATGCAGAAGCTGAGCGGGCGGCGAGTGGAGGGGCGGTCGCCCTGAGACGCATCGTCAATCCGCGATCCGCGAGGCGAGAGGCAGAGGGGAAGATGAGAATGCCAATTCCTGGGCCTGCGGAGCTGCTGGGCAAGTGTGCCGGGCGGCTCGCACCAGAGCCATCCAGCGCGTGATCTGGGGAATGCCAGCACATCCTCGGGTGGCGCTGCGCTGCTGCTGCTGCTTGCCGCGCTGGCGCTGCTGCGCATGGTGCTGCTAGCCTGGGTCGCGGTGGTCGCAGTGGTGCTGAGTGCGCGAATGCAAGTGCGCGCGGCGCTGCTGGCTCAGCCGTGGTGGGCACGGTGATGCCGCTGATGGCTCTGGCGCTGTTTTGAGGGTTGCGGCTGCGCGTGGCACTGCTGGTCCCAGTCGTGGTGCTCGCCCTGGTGCTGGTGGTTGGGCTGGTGCTGGTGCGAGTGGCTCTCGTCCTGCTGCCCTCGCAGGCTGCGCTCGGTGGTGGCCTCGGTGCTGGCGTCAATGCCCAATGCCGGTGTCCGTACTGATGCCAGCGATGGCATCGGAGCTGGCGTATACGCGCTGGCTCTGATGCTGGCGTACCGGCGCAAGCGTTGGAGCAGGCGCAGGCGCTGGCGTGGGTGCTGGCCTCGGTGCTGGCGTCAGAGCCCGCATCCGTGCTGATGGCGACGACGGTGCTGGAGCTGACTTAGGCGCTGGCGCAGGGCTCGTGCAGCCGAGGGCGTGGGTGCCGGCGCAGGCGCTGGCGTCGGTGCTGGCCTCGGTGCTGGCGTCGGTGCCCGCGTCCGTGCTGATGTCGACGATGATGCTGGAGCTGACGTAGGCGCTGGCGCTGGTCTCATGCAGGCGTGGGTGTTGGTGCCGGCGCAGGCGCTGGCGTCGGTGCTGGCCATATCGGTAAGTTGTGCATGCGGGTCTGTCCGCTGGGTGGTGTCCCGGCGAAGGCGGTGGCATCGGTGAAGTCGCTGGCGTCGGTGCTGGCCTCGGTGCTGGTATCGTGTGACGCGCTGGCGTCGGTCCTGGCCTCAGTGCTAGCGTCAGTGCCGGTGTCCGTGCTGATGTCAGCGATGGCGTCGAAACTGTCAGGCGCCGGCGTTGGTGTGGGCTATAAGCGCAGACGCTGGTCCCGACGAGGGCCGTAGGCTTTGGCGTTGGTGCTGGCCTCAACGCATGCGTCGGTACCGGCGTCTTTGCTGCTGGGAAAGGTGACCTCGGATCTGCCGTAGAGCTGGCGCTGCTGCCGGCGAAGGCGCAGGCGTTGGTGCCGGCGAAGGCGCTGGAGTCGGAGCTGGCCTCGGTACTGGCGTTAATGCTGATGTCCGTGCTGATGTGAGCCGGCGTGGACGCTGGCGCTTGTGCTGGCGTACCGGCGCAAGCGTTGGGGCAGGCGCAGGCGCTGGCGTCGGTGCTGGCCTCGATGCTGGCGTCGGTGCCCGCGTCCGTGCTGATGTCGACGATGGTGCCGGAGCTGACGCAGGCGCTGGCGCTGGTGTCGGCGGGGGCGCAGGCCTTGGTGCCGGCGCAGGCGCTGGCGTCGGGGCTGGCCGAATCGGTACGTTGTTCACCCGGCGCAGTCGCAGGCGCTCGCGCCGGCGAAGGCGCTGGCGTTGGTGTGGGCCTCGGTGCCGGTATTGGTGGACGCGCTGGCGTCCGTGCTGGCCTCGGTGCTAGCGTCACTGCTGGTGCCCGTGCTGATGTCCACTGCTGGTGCCCGTGCTTCTGCGGGACACAAACAATAGCATTCACATCAAAACTCGGAGGTCCGCGCGGATTCCTCGCATCTGCGCTGGGCTACTTCCCCTCCCTGGCGCGCGGAGTGCACCAGGGGCGGCTCCAGCGCCGATCCGAGGAATCCGCGCGGACCTCCGAGTTGTTATATTATGTCATTGTGTGTACTCTTGAGGCAGCTTTTGCCCCACTTGGGGGGTCTCTTGGACCGTCCCGTGGGCAGTTCGCAATGCGTCGGGGCCGTTCTGGGACTTCTGCAAGGCTGGCTGGAAGAATTCGTCTGGCAGCCCGTCGTGGGGCCGTGTTCGGCTCGTCCAGAGAGAGCTACAGCGGGCTCGCGGTGAGCGCGAAGCGTCTGCAACGAGAAAGAGCTCCTCGCCCGTTCGGGAGGAGGAGGAGAAGGAGGAGAAGGAGGAGGGGGAGGGGGAGGAGAAGGGGGAGGAGAAGGAGGAGGAGGAGGAGGAGGAGGAGGAGAAGGAGGGAGGGGGAGGAGGAGGGCTGGCGGGGGGAAGGAGGAGGTGGGCTGGCGGTGAGCGCGAAGCGTCTGCAATGAGAACAAACTCGTCGCCCGCTCGCGCTCTGAATGAGCTGTAACCGCGGGCAGCGAGCGGCCTGCCAGTTGCCGGCAGCGGCAGCAAAAACTCGGGCCCAGAGAGGCCTCCTCCTCCCTCCTCCTCCTCCTCCTCCTCCTCCTCCTCCTCCTCCTCCTCCTCCTCCTCCTCCCCCGCCCGTTGGAGGCCCACAGCCCGTAGATCGACACCGCCCCCCCGCCGAGATCGAGGCGCACCTCTCCATCGAGGGAGCCTGCCCCGCGAGCTCGGTGAAGGGGCCATCGTCGCCAGGAAGCTCGCGACACACAGGACAGGGCCCACGCGTGGAACATCTTGAGGCCGCGCGCTGGACACGCGCGCGGAGGGCCGCCGTGCCTATCCCACGAGGGCCGAGCGGTGGAGAAGCATGCGGCTGCCCTGTGGCACGGGTGGACAAGAGCGGGTCCTGCAGAGAACGGGTCCTGGACCTCTCGTGTGGGCGACCTCGGGAATCCTGAACCCAACACCGTCTTCATCTATTGGAAGGCAATGTTTGACTTCCTTCCGCCGAGCTTCCGCCGGCTTCCGCTGGCAGAAGCGGCCTCGTTTTGTTTTATTTCCGCCGACCTTCCGCCGCCTTCCGCCGAGAAGGAGATGACAGCTCCTTCTATCCTCGAAGGCGAAGCCCTTTTTGGAGCGCGTTGGAGGAGGAGGAGGAGGAGGAGGAGGAGGAGGAGGAGGAGGAGGAGGAGGAAGAGGACCCATGACCAGCTCTTCCTCATGGGTCGTTTTCCGACGGCCCAGGGGCCCGCGGAGGGCGCCAGGAAAGCCAAACACTTCGGTGGCAACGCATGGGAGCCTCCCATACCTTCTTGTCGGCTCCTGCGAATCGACGCTAATCGACGCTAAACCGACGCTAATCGACGCTAAATCGACGCTAATCGACGCTGGCCGACGCTCAATCTCCACTCCCAAACGCTGATCGACGCCAGTCGACGCTAAAGACGCAATTAAGAGTGTACACGAAGCTCCCGTGCTTTGCCACCGAAAAATACGGCGAACCGACACACCTCCGGGCGCCCTGCTCCGCGGCGACAGCTGCGTGCCCAGCTCTGGCCCAGGCCGGCCACGTCGTGTGCAGCGAGCTTCCTGGCAGTCATCCTTGGCGGCCTGAGTCGGCCACCAACCCCGAGGTCTTGGGCGTGAATTAGTGTGTAGGGGGCGGGGGGGCGACAACAAGTGGGCCCCACAACAAATGGGGGAGGAAGAAGCCCGAAAGGCCCCCTGGAGGAGGAGGAGGAGGAGGAGGAGGAGGAGGAGGAGGAGGAGGAGGCGGAGGAGGAGGAAGAAGAGGGGGAGGAGGGAGGAGGAGGACCCTAAAGGCCCCCCGTTGGCCCTCAAGGGCTCCTTCAGGGGCCCCCAGAGGGCCCCCTTTGCTGCAGCCCCCGCTGCCCCCCTCCACTGGACCGCCACCCCCCAGGACGCGGCCTCCAAAGAGATCGGGAAGGCGCCCTCCCCCGGCGGCGGCGGTGGCCGGCCTCGGTGGTAATTCACCGTGTGCGGGCCTCCGGGGCCCCGCGCCCCCCCTCCCCCCCCGCGCCCCGCCCGTGCCAGAGTCACGCCCTGGGCCGCGGACGTCTGCACGGCCTCTCCCGCCCCCCCGGGCCCCTCCACAGCGCAGCGGCAGGGGATGGGAGGGAGGGGCGGGATGTCAGAGGAGGCGCGAGCGCACCCAGCTTTCCCCCCCCCCTCTCTCCTTCTCTGTCTTTGCTTGTTGTTTGTTTGTTCTCTCTCTCTCTCTCTCTCTTCCTCTCTTTCTGTTTTTGTTCCTCTCTCTCTCTCGCGCTCTCCCTTCTCCCTTCCCCCTTCCCCCCACCCCGCCCCTCTCATGCCTCCCCCCTCACCCGTGCCCCGTGGCCTACCTCTTGCGCACCAGCGTCACGCCGTCCCGGATCGGCAGCATCACCGTCATGAGCTTGGGGTGGTTGGCCAGCCACGCGTTGAACTCCTTGATGTCCTCCCCGAACCCCCTCCGCTTGGGCTGCGTGTCGTACTCGGCCGGCATGTAGGGCAGGCCGCAGTACAGCGTGTTGTCCACCGCGATCATCGCGCCGTCGGCCAGGAGGTCACGCTCCAGCAAGACCTCCACGTAGCGCTTATACTCCGACTTGTTGGCGTCGACGAAGACGAAGTCAAACTTCTTGTCCGCAGGCAGCTTCGCCATCGACTCGAGCGCGGGTCCCACCATGACAGAATGCTTCTTGCCCTCCGGGAACTTGCCCATGACCTCGCCGACCCAGCGCTGCAAGAACGGGTCGATGTCGAGCGACACGCACTCGCCGTCCGCCGGGAGGGCCTCTACGATGGCCGCGGCGCCGTAGCCCGTGAACATGCCAATCTCGAGCACTCGCTTCGGGGACTTCATGAAGGTGAACATCTTGATGGTCATGGCCTCCGTGGGGTCCGTCGACATCTCGGGGCCGTAGGAGAACATCGTGTGGCCCTGGCTCCAGAGCGAGTCCCAGTTCGTGTTGTCCATCTTGTCCTTGATCGCCTTCATGATCGGGCCGCTGCAGTTGGACACCGAGGAGATGTACGGATCGAGGCCCCCGATCAGGCAGAAGAGCTCCTTCGCGACGCCCTCGATCCGCTCGCAGTGGATGGACCACCTCGCGGCGCTCTTGCCCGCCGACGCCTCGAGGGCGCTGTTCTCCAGAGTCCCGCGGGCGCCTGTCTCCAGCTTCTCGGTGCCGCCGAAGCGCCCGGTGTAGCCCTTCATCTCGCAGAGCGCGGCGGGTGCCGCGCTCGGTCGCGACGGCGACGAGCCGGCGCCCACCTAAGACGAAGCCAGGGCGAGGACAGAATCGTCGGATGATACATCGAGAACCTCTGAGACCCCGCGGCTCTGGAGGATGTCTCGGGCGCCGCGGCCTTCTCAGAGCGTTCGGAAACCCGCTGAGCGCGTTCTGGAACGCTCTGGAACTGATTTATCCTCGTCCTAGCCCCGTCCGACCATCGCCGCCGCGCCCACCACTGGCGCTGCAGTCGCCAGGCCACGGCGGAAGCTCGAGCTGCCGGAGAGCAGGAAACGCATGGAGGCCATGACCGCGATGCCGCGGGGGGGCGCGGGCCCCACGGTGTTCCAGGCGGGGCGGGGAGCTTCGCTGCACAACGGCCCGAAAGCCAAAAGGACTGTTGAGCGGAGGAGGGCGGAGGGGGAGGAGTCAGGAAGTGGTCAACCAGAGCTCACCCACCCTAGTTCGCGTAGCTCTCTGCAGAACAATCGCAAAAGGGCACAGGATGGCCTCCTGAAGTCCTCGGGGAGGCCCCAAGGGACCGCCGAGATGGCGCTGACGTGGCCCGGAGCCAAACAGTGGTGCCTCCAGGAGGAGGAGGAGGAGGAGGAGGAGGAGGAGGAGGAGGAGGAGACGTCTCGATCACCGCCAGGATCGGCAGGTGCCCGCCGCGACCTCTCCCGGAGCGCCCTGCCGGGCCCCCCGTATCCCCCCAACAGATGAGCCCTCTCATGTCCGCGCCTCCTCGAATGCTGCATGCCGCTATTTTCCTCTCCGCGTGCGTCGGCGCCTCGCCGGGTGGGCCTGTTTTCCACCACCACCACCACCACCACCACCACCACCACCACCGCAAGTAGGAGGGGGAGGGGGTCCTCCTCCTCCTCCTCCTCTTCTTCCTCCTCCCCATCCTCCACCTCCTTCCCCCTCCAACTTCTGGTGGTGGTGGTGCAAAACAGGCCCATCATCGCCAGGTCCCCCTCGGGCCGCTCCGCAGATCTCAGCTGCGGCCCACACCGACCTCACTCGGGCGGTGCTGGGCCAGGCTGGCACGAGCGGAGGCCTGGCCTTCAAACGTCTCCCAGCGGCCACGGTGAGTCGCGAAACGCCCGAATGCTTACAGCGCGCCCTTCCCTCCTCCTCCTCTTCCTCCTCCCCCTCCAAATATACACCAATCCTGGAGCGTAGCCAAGGCGGTTGTTATTATTATTATTATTACTATTATTATTATTATTATTATTATTATTGTTATTATTATTAGTATTATTATTATTATTAACATTATTATTATTGTTATTATCATTATTCGTAGTATTATTATTGTTGTTATTATTATTAGCATTATTATTATTAGTAGTAGTCGTATTATTATTCTTCTTCATATTAGTATTATTGTCATTATTAATACTGTTCTTTATTAATAATACTATTATACTTATTATTATTCGCATTGCTACTATTATCAGTATTCTTATTAGCATTAGACATATTATTATTAGTATTCTTAGTATTGCCACTATTATTATTATTCGTATGGCTATTATTATTAGTATTATTATTATTACTATTATCATCATCATTATTATTACTACCAGTATGATTTTTATTATCAGTAGTAGTCCTAGTCGTAGTAGTAGTAGTAGTAGTAGTAGTAGTAGTAGTAGTAGTAGTAGTAGTAGTATCATCATCATCATCCTCCGTATCATTAGTAGTATTATGAGAAGTAATGATAATATTTTCTAGTATTGATATTGATATCACTGTTATTTTTATTCTCGTTATGATCATCATCATGATACGTATGATCAATATTATGCTTATAGGTACTCTTATTATCAGTTGTAGTACGAGTAGTGTTATTATTCTCCTCCTCCGCCTCCTCCTCCTCTTTCTCCTACACATCTACACCCGAGTCCTTCCCTGCACTCATCACGAATTTCAAAGGCATCGACAGTTCGCTGCTATGCAAAAAGTTACCAGCTAGACGAGCGACTCAGGTCGCCGCCAATCCACGATCGACACACATCGACGAAGCCCCTCGCTAATTGTCGCCAAGGCGTTGACCAGAGCCCTGGAACACCTGGAAGTTCTGGCCTGTACCTCCCACTCGCGTTCGCTCCGGCGCCGGGCTCTCCTCGTCGTTCCCGTAGCCGCCGGCCACGCCGCTGTACCGGCCCTGGGCGCTGCCGAGGAAGCCCCCGCCGCCGCCGCCGAGGGGGCCGCCGCCCCAGCCGGGGGCGCCGCCGCCGGGCCGGGTCATCTCCTGGCCCCAATCGCCGCCCTGCGCCGTGACGCCGCCCGCGCGCGTCGCCTGGATGCACAGGTAGCCATAGACGGCGGCCACGGCCTCGGCCAGCAGAGCGCCCACCATGCTGAACACGGCGAGGCCGCTCCCCAGCGCGGCCATGCCGCTGCTGTTCGTCGCCACGGCCAGGTAGAGCGGCACCAGCTGCGTGATCGAGGGCGGCAGCAGGAGGTCGAAGACGACCGAGACCGCGTTGAAGATCGTGAACGACATCAGACAGGTCAGGCCTCCCTGGCACATCCCCTGCTCGTGGCACGGCTTCAGGCACGTGTTGGTAAAGAATTCGTAGATGGGCTTAAAGGTGGGATCGTCGCTTTGGAGGAAAGCACCGATGAGCACGTTGAGGAAGAGGGAGAACGAAGGAGAGGCTGCGAGGGTGGCGCCGCCTCCATGTCCATGACCCTCGGAGAGGGTGCTGAACAAGAACGCTGAGACTAGCCTGCTGATGGCGCAGAAGAACAGCGCCAGCGTGCACATCTTGATCACCTGAAATTTATCCCGGAGCTCGTCAGGAGGCGGGCCCGCGAGAGGCGGCACCAGCCCAGCCGGGATCGGTATCACCATACTGCCTCTGTCCCCAAGCTCTGCCCGGCAGCACGCCGCTGGCGCCCGGCGAGACGCGGTGGCCCTGCAGGGGAAACGCCCTGGCCCAGCTGGAAGCGGCTTGGGCCAGAGTGGCCACGGATCTATAAGCATGAGCTGTCGGAGTTCCGCGCGGACTTCTTAGATCTACGATGAGAAAAACTCCATCCGAGGCGCGCGGACTGCGCTAGGGGCGGCGCTGGAAGCACCGCCATGGGGCCACAGTGCCGATCGAAGAAATCAGCGCTGAGTTCCGACGTGCATTTTTCCCAAAAACCGTCCTGTGGAGTTGGGTCTTCGTTTTGAAGGGACAACGCCCCGCGTTCCCCATTCACTCCTCCTCCTCCTCCTCCTCCTCCTCCTCCTCCTCTTCCTCCTCCTCCTTCCTCCCATTATCACAATCACTTTCATTGTATTCATCGCCGTCATCATCCTCATCACCACCATCATCGTCACCAACATCCCCATCAACATCGCCATCATCATCAACAACATTGTCATCATAACCACCATCAACACCACCACCACCACCATCATCATCATCATCATCATCATCATCATCATCATCATCATCAGCAGCATCATCATCATCATCATCATCATCATCATCATCATCATCAGCAGCATCAGCATCAGCATCAGCATCAGCATCATCAGCATCATCATCAGCATCATCATCATCATCATCATCATCATCATCATCATCATCATCATCATCATCATCATCATCATCATCATCATCATCATCATCTCCGTCATCATCATCATCATCATCATCACCGTCATCATCACCATCATCGCCATCAATGTGCAGAGGCCTCTCACACGCTTCGTGGCCCTTACGGACCTCTACCGAAGGTCGCACTGGCGCAACTCGCACGCGGTCCCGCCACCAATGCTGGCACACCCCTCACACGCTTCGTGGCCCCATACGGAGCTCCACCGAAAATCCATGTGGCTCCGCCACAAATTTCGGCACACCGCTCACACGCTTCTTGGCCCCACAGGGAGCTCCACCGAATGTCGCAATTCGCACGCGTTCCCGCAACCAATTTCGGCACACCCCGTGCGCGCCTCGTGGCCACATATGATGGCGGCATGCCACTATCACCGCCATGAATGTTTGCTTGGTTCTTCTAGCCAAAATTGGGATAATCATGTTATACATATAACAACGTTGAAACAATAAGATCAGTGGCTAGGAACCGTCGGAACACGAATCTGACTGGCGACGACACGCTTCGACAAACTACTGGCTAACGCATATATAGGGTTGAGCCGGAGAAGATGTGGCCACGGTATCAAGACAACGACAACCAGATGTTCCAAACTTTGCAAAACAGCTGATTCCTCTTCCTATATTTTTATAGGCCTGGGCGGGGGGACCCCCCTAAAAAAAACGGACTCTCGGGATCTGGGGCTTTGGGACCCTCCGGACGGGCCTCGAAGCGGCCCCCCGGGCCTCGCAGGGCGCTTTGCCAAGCCTTCCCAGCACACCTAAGGCGATCAGGGGGGTCATCGGAGACGTCCCAGAAACACCCAAGGCAGCACAAGAGCGCTCCAAGAGTGACCGACGTGACCTCAAGATGGCCCAATAGGCCTCCAGGACGGCCCCAAAGAGGCCTCCAAGAGCACTCCCAAGAAGGTCCCAAGAGGCAAGAATCATGGATTTTCGGTTGGTTTTTGGTGAATTTGGGGGTTCTCCTCTTTTCGGCTTCCCGACGCTCAAAGACGGCGGTCTTCTGGGCGTCCGAAGCCGCCTGGGAAGCTCCCAAATCGCCCCACAACCATCCGAAAGGGCTTCCAGGCAGTCCAAGAGAGCCCCCAAACGGCACAACACGGGTCCAAAACGGCCCTCAGAGAGCCCCATGGCGGCCCAAGATGGCCCAAAGACACCATCCAAAACATTCGTGACCCGGTCGTTCAGGGAGACTGCGGTCGGAGGCAGGGTGGCCCGAGGAATCCCCCAGAGGCCCCCAGAATACGCCCAGGAGGCCTCCGGAAAGCCTTCAGAAAGCCGGAAAAAACTTTTGTGAAGCCCCCAGAGGCTCTCCAAGGAGGAGCCTCTGCAAAAAAAAAACTGAGGAGGATGGGGAGAATGCGCATGGTATGGCGAAGATGAAAAAAAAACAAGGAGAAATAATAATGAATAACATTAGTATAGCGGCGATGCCGGAAAAAAGGCAACAAGGAATTCTCGCTAAGTTGTCGGCTTGATATTCCTGCTATTGCGCCTGCATGCCAAGCTTCAAGGACCATGGTGCATGGCGCGAAACGCCACTGCAGTCTTGTTATATATATATATATATATATATATATATATATATGTATAGCTCGCCAGCCGATCACTCCCGCCAGGCTCTTTTTATGTGAAGGGCTGACCATGCCAACAGCTTCGAGGAAACGATGCCGAGTAGCGCCACGCCGAGAGCACACATGCGTTTACAGTTTGCTGAGCAACGAAAGCGAGGAAGGGAGAGAAGAGGAAGGCAAAGGACAGACACACACCCACAGACCCACGCGAGAAAGGGAGGGAGGGAGGGAAGACTTGAGCGTGGCAAATGCGGCGGGATCCAGGATGGGCTACGCCTAAACATGTTAAATGTGACAGCTCGCCTACCGTTCACTCCCGCCCTGCTCTTTTGTGTGAAGGGCTGACCAGACCAACAACTTCGAGGAAACGACGCCGAGTAGCGCCAAGCCGAGAGCACACGCCCATACCCGTATGGTGAACTGGCTGACTTGTAGAGAGAACAAGGAGGCCGAACTCAAACAAACACGAACTCAACTCCCCAATGATACATCAATTGCGTACTTAACAAACTTTCGAGCCCGCCTATCTTCGAACGATCGTTGCATCACCCGGCTGAATTTCTGAGCAAACGCTTTGGGGCACTCCGCAGCAAGACTGCTAAAGTGAGAGCCCGGAGGCGCGTGCCCAGATAGTATCACATGAAGCTTTTGCGCCCGCGAACATATACCCTTGCGACCCGAGAGTCAGCAGCGGGAGCGAATGCCAGGCCGTCACGCTGGTTGCCTTCCGCCACGGCGCCCCGCAATGGCACATGTGCAGCTGGACCTTTTGGGCCGAGCTCGCGCGCAAAAGCCTGACCAGCTCCGGCGCGCGCCGCATCAGGGGGCCTGCTGGATTCTCAAGGTGCACGGCCACCCTCCACGTCCAGCCGAGCCTGCTCGCTCAGGGGAAGGTTGGGCAGACCCATGGGATGCCTTCTGGAGCGCAGCGGCCGTCGCAGAGCCTGGCTCCAGGTAGCGCGCGGAGCACCGAGCCAGATGCCGGCAACGCAGCCGGAGGTTACCCAGCCCTGGAGAACATGAAAAAACTCATGCACGAGGTGACTCCCATGGGCTCCACGGCTGAGATCGAAACCAACCGCCGCGAAGCCATCGGCCTTATGCGCTGCTGTAATACATCCCCTCCCACAGAACAGCTCGACCAAAACCAAAACGTCTGTGCAACCGCCCCTCAGCTTCAGCCCGCCGGAAAGCCGCGAGCATGTGGGCCCGAACGGCACCGGGGGCCGCAGTCATGGGCGGCGCCGCTTGCGGCTGCGCCCGGCCTGCGGCTTGGCCGGGCTGGGTCGAGCGCCCGCCAGGCCGGCCAGGGCGGCGGGGCCTGGGTCCGCAGCGGGTGCGACAAGCTGGCCAGGGCGCTTTCGATCACAAACGTGAAGTTCGCGTCGACCAGCCCGCCGAACGACAGCGTGGCGGCTGGCGCCCAGTGGAGCTCGGCCAGCAGCTTCGACTCCTTCGCATACCACTGCATGCTGCTGCTGTGGCCCCACCTGCCCCTCCGTTGCACCTTCTTGTACTCGGTGAGGTCGAAGTCCCAGAGGGAGTTCTTCGTCGCCGTCGCCAGCTTCAGCGCCTCCAGGACCGGGTGAAGCCAGCTCGCGCTGTCGATGATCACCGACTCCTCGAACACACCGACCTTGCTTGGGACCCGAATCACCACGTCGCGCAGCAGGAGCGCCCACTTGTCGTAGCCAGAGCCCACCGCCGCCGCCGGCAGGGCCAGGCTGCGGCCCCGCAGCCGAAGGGCCCCGCCGGGCTGCCGGTAGCACAGGAAGCTGATGACCACGCAGATCACCATCCGCGCCTGGCCCCAATTGGCCAGCATCCCGGCAAGCGCGGGGCAGGCGCTCCTCGGCAGCGGCAGCCGCGCGTGGGCCGGGGCCCGGCGAGCCCAGGCGATGGCGCATCGCTTGGCTCGCGGCAGCACCCGCGACACCGCCTTGTCCAGGGACGGCATCACGTGGCTGAGGGTCGCCAGGAGCTGCGATCCCGTGCTGCCATTCTCGCCCATGAGGTACATCCGGTCGAAGAACTCCACCAGTAGAACATCCAGCTCTGGCCTCGAGCTCCAATCCTGGCGGTGGCCCGAGCGGAAGGTCGCGAACGCCACGAGGGCCACCAGCGGGCAGGTGACCACGGCCCGCAGCCACAGCATCCGCCGGGCCATCATGCGAGCCCCCTTGGCCGTAAGAACCCGCCCCAGAGAACCATCCGACCTCGCCCCCCCCATGGCAATCAATCGGCACGGCGTAGATCTGCGCGAAAAATTTTCCTCAAATGATATGGACCCCGCGCCGCGGTCGTCACCCACGGGGTGCTCGGAAGCGTTCGTGCGGTCGTCGAGCGGGACAAGGTCCGCGTCCTCATCTCCGTCATGTCCTTGCTGGGAAATAATAGTGTTCTCGGGCCTCGGCGCACTTGGAGGAGGCTCGTCGGTGCACGAAAGATTTCAAGATATCTCATTGGGAGGGCTCTGGCTCGATTCCCCGACATCGTCGGCGGAATCGGACTCAGGAACTTCCACGCTCATCATTTCATGGCGTGATCCTTCTTCAAAACGTACATCACGTTCTGATGGAAGGAACCGAATTCCTTCACCAGGCAGAAAAACTTTCGTCGAAGACAAAGCTTTCGGCTGATAACCAGTATGTCGCCTGTGTTTGCATGACTTTAGCAGGTCCTTCATCATATTGATATTTAATTGTTCATCATATCCTTGAAGCTTCTTGCTCAGGCTTATCTTCGGTGAAAGTGAAATCGGGGATGTAACCCAGGACGCCATGAATGTGGTGCAAATGTCCGTTAAGTTTGGGTTGCCGCTATGAAAAAGAGAGGGCCGGCCGGCCGGGAGGGTGCGCCCGGGGAGGGCGCGCGCGCGGCGGGCGGGACGCTGCCTTTTTCCTGATAGAGCCAACACGCACAACTACGGAAGTGTCGCTGTGGGGGCAAAATGGGCCCGAGGGGTCGCCTAAAACGACTACGGAACTCCACCGAAGGACCCAGTGGCGAATTTCACATGCGTCCCCGCCACCTACGTCGGCACACCCCTCACACGCTTCGTGGCCCCATACAGACCTGTACCGAAGGTCCCACAGGACAGCCCGCATGCGCGCGCGGCCCCGTAGGGAGCTCCACCGAAGGCCCCAATGGCGCCGTTCGCATGCTCCGCCGCCCATTTCGGCACACCACTCACACGTTTCGTGGCCCCACAGGGAGCTCCACCGAAGACCCCAATGGCGCCGTTCGCATGCTCCGCCGCCCATTTCGGCACACCTCTCACACGTTTCGTGGCCCCACATGGAGCTCCACCGAAGACCCCAATGGCAGGGTTCGCATGCAGCTCCCCGCCCAGCGCATGTCAATCTCGGCAAACCCCCCACAGGGGTTCCCCTCTCTTCAACCCACCTGCCTCGCATTACTCACACCTGCGCATGGTTAGGTCCTTCGGTTAACATAATTATGCCGCCCTCCTCCTCCTCCTCCGCCTCCTCCTCTTCCTTCTCCTTCTCCTCATTCTTCTTCGGTCTACACCGCTCTTCGCTCGCAATTACCCCCCCAGCACCGGCGCTTCCTCCCGAAGGGTTTCTGCTGACCGCCCCTGCCCGGCAGCGGCCCGGAGATCGCGCCGATCATCTCTGCGACCCCTGGCGAAATTCTGCCCCTGCCGACGCTGATGCTTGACCCGCAGGGGTACGGATCACATGTGGCTGCCCAGCACCGCCGATGCGTCGGCGATGCGTCGGCAACGTCGGGATGGAGAAAGTCGGGGCCTGGACCGCGCCGCATCGCCGACGCATCGGCGATGCAAGGGCAGCCACATATGAACCATACCCATGCAGGTGGGACCTCTGAAACCATGGGTCGAGAATCAGAAGGATGTCTGCAGCCAGGTGAACCCTGGCGGGGGTGTCCTATACCCCAGCGTCGGCAGGGGCAGGGTCCGCAAGTGTTCGCAGAGATGTGGCGCGAGCCTCCGACCCCATCGGCCACACGAAAGAGTGACCATGGGCAAGAATGACCTCTGGTGCGCGGCTTGCCGGCCGCTCCGTGCGGTGCGACTGCGGCGGCCTGCGTGCCTGGGATCGGCCCCGGAACGCCCCCCGAAGACCGCGCACCAAAGGTCACGACGGCAAAGGGTCACTCTTACGCGCAGTCCTTAACGTGGGGCAAACATGAGCACCGCGGCTGTTGCGTTCTGCAGGTACGTAAAGGCGTACCGACTTGGGCGTGTATGTATGTATATATATATGTATGTATGTATGTACGTACGTACGTACGTACGTATGTATGTATGTATGTATGTATGTATGTATGTATGTATGTATGTATGTATGTATGTATGTCTGTCTGTCTGTCTGTCTGTCTGTATGTATGTATGTATGTATGTCTGTATGTATGTATGTATGTATGTATGTATGTATGTATGTATGTATGTATGTATGTATGTAGATGTAGATGTATTTGTGTATACATATACACATAAAAGAAATACATCTGACCATGACTTAAAGGTGAATATTGGCGGGGGCAGAGGGAAGGCTTCTCAGGAGGAGGCCGCTTCTTAGAAGGCGCCGTCCCTAGATCTATAGATGAGGCCCGGGCATTCTGAGAAGCAGGGGTGCTGCTAAGAAGCCTTCCCCCCGCCCCCCACCCCCCTTGGCGCGCGGCCGAGCTTGGCTTTCGGGACACAGCTCGGGTCTCCAGCGGCCGTTCGGGACGATCCGGGCGCCCCCGGAACGCTCTCGGCGAGGCGCAGCTGCTGGGGCGCATTCCCGACGCCGGAACGCCGCCGAGAGCCGACGAGGACTCGCGACGACCCACTCTGCACGCGGCTTCCCCTCCCGCGGCCCTTGGGCAGCCACGGTGCGGCGCATGGCCGACGGACTCCACAGTGGCGGCCTGGGACAGGCAGGTTCCCGGCACTCGGCGGCCGCTCGGGGGAGGGAGGGCTCCGGGCGGCGCGCGGCGGTCTCCTCCCGCTCCGTCCTGCGCAGCCCCTCGAGCACGCTGGCTCGCACGCGCGAGGTCTCGTCGAGGGGCTCGGGGGGCGGCTTCGGCTCGCGGGATCCCGTCGGCGAGGCGCCAGGGCCTTCTGCGACGGGGGCGGGGGCATCCTCCTCCATCCTCTCAGAAACTGCCACCACCTCCTCCTCCTCCTCGCCTCCCCCTCTTCCTCCCTCCATCCCTCCCTGCCTCCTTCCCTCCTTTCCTCTTGGTCCTCCTGCCCCTCATCCTCAATCTCTTCCACCTAAACCATTCCTGCCAACCTTCATCCCCTCTTCCTCCTCCTCCTCCTCCTCCTCCTCCTCCTCCTTCTCCTCCTCCTCCTCCTCCTCCTCCTGCTCTTCCTCCTGCTCCTCCTCCCCTCCTCCCTCCTCCTCCTCCTCCTCCTCCTCCTCCTCCTCTCCTCCCCCTCCTCCTCCTCTCCTCCTCCTCCTCCTCCTCCTCCTCCTCCTCCTCCTCCTCCTCCTTCCCCTCCTCCTCCTCCTCCTCCTCCTCCTCCACCTCCTCCTCTCCCTCCTCTCCTCCCTCTCCCCCCCCTCCTCCTCCTCCCCCCTCCCTCCTCCACAATTACACAATATGAATACTACTCTCCCACTTCCCCTGATGGCGTCCGGAAGATGTTCGGCACCCCCCCGCGTACTGTTTTTTTACACACAGGATTCCCCGGAGTTGGGTTTTCGCTTGTGTTTTTTTCTAAAATGCTGCTCTCGCTGAGGCGCTGGCCTAATTTTCGGGCTCCCGCTCCTTCCGAATCGTGTTCCCGCTGCAGCGCTGGCCTCATTTCCGCGCTCCCGCTCGTTCCGAATCGTGCTCCCGCTGCAGCGCTGGCCCAATTTCTGCGCCTCTCGTTGTTCCAAAACGTGCTCCCGCTGCAGCGCCGACGTTTTCGATCCTTTTTAAGAAGCCCCAAATCTAGAAAATGATCCCCGGCAAAAACATTGGAGGTGATTACACATCCGGTGTCGATTCGTTGATTTTTGGGGCCGCAGAAAGCCCCCCCCCCTTTTGGGCGGCGTCCTTTTCCGCACAGGATTCCCGGGAGTTTGGTTTTCATCTATGTTTTTGAAAATCCGAGTCTTTCCGGTCCTTCAGAATGTTGTTCCCGCTGCAGCGTTCGTCCTATTTTCCGCGCCGCTGGTCGTTCCAAATCGTGCTGCCGCTGCAGTGCAACGGTCCCCGGCCCCATGCTATGATATGCTCCGCTCTAGTGGCGTTCTTCGGCTCTTCAACAATGGAGCTCCCGCTGCAGCGCTGGCCTCATTTCCGCGCTTCCGCTCGTTCCGACTCATGCTCCCGCTGCAGCGCTGGCGTCATTTCCCGTGCAATGCCACGGCATGCAATGCAATGCTAGGTTGATACTACGCTTTGCGGTGCTCTTCTACGCCATGCCATGCCGTGCTCTACAATGCATCGCGTACCCTTTCGGGATCATTGCCCTGCTCGACATCCGACTGTGCGAGTAGAGAGGGGATCTACGCCATGGTAAGGGATGGGAGGGAGGGGTAGGATGTCAGATATGACGCGAGCGCACCTAGCTTGTCGCTCTCCCCCTCCTCCTCCTCCTCCTCCTCCTCCTCCTCCTCCTCCTCCTCCTCCTCCTCCATCCCTTTTCCTGATTGATAAGTCCTCCCCGTCGCACCCCAAGACGTGTCGTTAGGGCGGACTGGGCGCTTCGCCTATGACTTCCCCACTATTTCTGATCCTGGAGCATCAAAACTGCAACGCTTACACGGGTGGATGGGGGTTCGTTTCAAAATCATTGTCCCGCCTTATCGCCCCGCACATTCGTCTTAGAAACTTGCAACAGTTCCACGGATGGATGGGGTCGTGCTTCAAATGGAGCGCTCGCCTTAGCGCCGCACGCGTTGGTCTTACCACTTTGTGACTGGAATTTTCCAGATGGACCACAGGTCGTTTTCCAGATGGAACTCCTGTTTTGGCCTTAGCACTGCGTGCGCTCGTATCTTCAAACATGCAACAAGTTCAAGGATGGAGCGCGCCTCATTTTCACAATGGGGCTCTCGCCCCTGCGCCGTGTACACGTGTCTTCAACATCTGCAACATCTGCAACAGCTGCATGGATGGAGCACACATCGTTTTCAACACGGAGCTCTCGCCTGAGACTGTCCTCACAACTGCACGCATGGGGGCGGTCACCCAAAGAATGTTGCAGGTGTGTCGAGGTCCCGCACGGTGCCCGAAAACAAACGCCTCATGGGCGCCTCGTGCGCTTGGCAGATGGGCCGAACCTCCGCCGGGCGCCCGCCCGCGGGCGCCCCGTGTGCTGCGTGGGGGCGCCGAAGCTTCGCCCAGTGCCCGCCCGTGGGTGCCTCGTGGGCGCCGCGTGCGCTGCGCGGGTGTGCCGAGGTTTCGCCCGGTTCCCGCCAGTGGCCGCCTGGTGGGCGCCTCGTGCGCTGTGTGTGTGTGTGTGGGTGTGTGTGTGTGGGTGTGGGTGTGTGTGTGTGTGTGCGCGCCGACGGTTCGCCTAATGCCCGCCCGTGGGCGCCTCGTGTACTGGGCAGCCGCATACATTGCACCACATATTGCGCCACACAGAATGCACCACATAGCTTGCACCACAAGGGAATTACCACACAGCATTCACGACACAGCCTGCACTACATAGCATACGCTACAGACATCTCTTACACCACCAAACACCACACAGCTTTCCCCACACAGCCTACACCACATATATTGCGCATGTCATGCAACACATAGTTTGCACTACGTAGCTTGCACCCAGCAGTGTGCACTACGTAGCTTGCACCCAGCAGTGTGCACTACGTAGCTTGCACCCAGCAGTGTGCACTACATAGCTTGCACTGTATGGATTGCACCGCATAGCTTGCCCCACATGGACTGTACCACATAGCTTTCAGCACACAGCTAGCCCCGCATAGCTTACACACCATGCTCGGGATCCACGCTGAAAAACAGTTTAAGCAGCAACTTGGATCTCGCTGGACATCTCGCTGAACTGTAGGAGCACACACTGTTTCGCACTCCTGGCTCCACGCTGGAAGGATGCAGTCCAACTCCATCTCAGAATGGCGCTGCCGCCTGAATGGCAGGCCCATCGGGTGCTGATCTTTCAAGGGGACGCTGCTTGCAGCAGCGAGAAGGAAGGCCTGCGGGAATTCACGAGGAGGGGGCTTATGACGGGAGGGTTATTGCAACATCGCTGATGCATCTTAGGCGTACTCTGGTCACCCTCCCCATACTCTCCGTCACTCCCTTCTGTTCTTCCTTCGTCCTCCTCCTCCCCCAGACGACGACGACGAGAACGAAAACGACGACGGCGGCGGCAGCGGCAACGGCGACGCGGAGAGCGGGGATGAGGAAGTGGAGCGCAGGATTGGCTGCGCAGGAGGCGGCGTGGGTCCAGGACCAGGACGTGGTGAATGAGGAAGAAGTGAGGAAAGAGATGACGCTGTAGGCGGAGGGGTCTGGGCACCTCTCCCTGGCTCCGCCTTTAAGACCCCGAGGGAGTGCCAACGTCGGCGGCGACGACGACACCGACAGACGGCGCCGCCGACAACGAAGGCAGCGGCTCAAGAGCCCCGGAGCTCCCACAGGTTTCTGGGGGTAGCAGGAGTTCCCGGAGACCCCGCGGAGACCTCTGAAAGCCGCGAGAGGCAGCAACGAAAACACGCACCCAAAAACGCATCAAAGCAAAAACCCACATGTACCCAACCGGACCACAGAATGTAGCATGACCAACTGGCCCGCCAAACACACCTGAACATGTGCAAGGGCGTGCCGTCACGCGCCAAAGCTACATAGTACATAGGCGTTCTTCAAATGTGGCTCAATGTTGCAACGGCGGCGCGAAACGCTAACTGTTTTGTTGTGTCGAACTGGGGTCGGACCTGGGTTGAACCTGCTTTTCGAGAACATTCCTTACGAAGCGTTCACTTTTCTACTGTGCCGAATCGATGTCCGACTTGGTGCGAACCTGTTTTTCGAGGACGTCCCGCACGAAACGCTCACTTTTCGTTGGATTCGAACATACACTTCTATTGGTTCGAACAGACGTCCGAACCTGGCTCGAACCTTTCCGCGGAACCAATCCCACGCGGTTCGCTGGTTTCGAACCGCCAGACCGCTTAGCCGCATAAAAATAAAAGTGGAGATGCAAACCCGAGGTTACTGACCCCCGCTGGCACAGCTCCACTCCCGTCACATTGTACCGGGCGCCGCGCGGCTAAGAGGGCACACCCGATCCACGATGCGCCAGCGTATATCAAACATTGGGCGATATTCCTCACGGTATAGTGCGCGGGGAACCTACTCACTGTACTCCAAACGGGACCTGCATGAGGCGTAGCCGAAGACAATGGAAGGGCACGTTTCCGAGTACAGCAGAAAGTAGAACAAGACGACGCTCCGTTGAACCCTCCACGAGCCCACAGAAGTGGCGACCTGCGGGGACGAGATGCCGATTGGAACTGGGTCAGGCCGCGCTCCGCTGTACCCCCTGCAAGCCCACAAGAGTGAGCAGTTGGCACCAGGGAAGCAAGGCAGAAAAGAAGCGAGGAGGAAACGAGAAGGCTCTTTCCCCCGCGAGGCCACGAGCGAACAGCTTCTGGCCTGCCACTTGCGCCGCGCTATGACTCCGCAGCAGTGGAGCTGAGCGCAAAACTGTCGGAGTCTTGCAGTCAGCGCGAAGGGGAGGAGCCGGACCCAGGAGGAGCAGCGACGCCCCGTTCCAAACGAGCATCCAACCCGGATATCCCACGCCGCGACGGGTTCACAGCGCGGGACTCCAGAGGTAAGGGCCCCTTCCCCAGGGCAAGCTCTCTTTCATTCCGCGTCGCTGCTTGACGTCCTGGGACCCAGCTGCGGCCCCGAGAGGACGAGATCAGTTCAAAACCTGGCGTCGAATCTGACGAGAGGGGGGTCTGAGACAACACGCGGGTTGGGACAAACATGCAAAAGCTTACAAGAGATCCAATGCATTGATTTGTCCAACACGGTGTCCTCGGAACTATCGACGCTTTGCCCCAGGCAAGTTTTTCATGCTGAGTCGTTTTGGGCGGCACTGGGTCCCAATAAGGGACCCTCCTCTGGTTGGGTCCCCGT